TTCCCTATATCAGCTTTTACCACCTACTTTTGAAAGACATCACAGAAAAGCTAGACTAGCCAGATGTTTCACGGCAATTCCTGTTATAAAAGTGGTGTGGTCTCACACATTTTGAACGAAATCTGACTTGGCGGTAATATATGAAAAACAGTGCTCAACATGACATATCAAAGCATGATCCAATTATGATAAGAGCTCATCTCAACTAATTTCCCAAAGAAGAGTTTCAGATTTCTCATCTGTTTCTTCTAGTTTCCTTCTGTAATCTCTGAATCTTTGAAGATAGTCTACAGGAGTGCATCCTGCTTCACAACAGATAAGCTCTACTCCTTCCCATTGCGAGAACCTTCCTGAAAACACATAGGCTTCATCTACAGCTACTTCTTAGCAGTGCTGTCTCTTTTTTATGCCTGTTACTGATCTCCTTTGATTTTCTTTGGACTTTTTTTTTTTGGTCAATGGGCATAAAACTCAGTGCAGTTTCTCTGTTTCATATTGCTCCTCTGCTCTGACTCTTCTAATGTAATAAGCTCTGAGTTTTTATTTTCGAGCCATCAGACAAGTGACAATTTTTTAGCAAAAAAATGAAGGAGCTGCTTGCAGATAGAATTCACTGAACATCTTCTTAAGAAAAGTAGACTGTATAATGAAGTTCAAGTATGCTGTCCATCAGAGTAACTTTGATTGTGTTACAGCGAAGGTTAGTGCTGCACAAAACAATCCCATAGGCTAAACCAAAACATTTCTATGGATGGCTGCCAATAAATCTTTGCTGACAGAAAAGAACGAGACAGCAGGAAAGAAGAACTAGCAGACGCTGGCAATCATTTTAGCAAGCAGAATAATCTTCAAGGATTGTGAATTAGATGAGGAAGAATGTTATTGTTTGCCATCTGCTATGGGTCTATTAGTACGTCAACATCTGGTGCCACAGAAAGATCTTTGTGATGTGAATGCACAAAGCTAATTCAGACAGGGTTTTCTTCTGCTGAAAGGAATCTTGTCGAAGGTAAACATTACAGGCCTTGCCACTGGTCAATTCACTTAGTTTTGGATGTATGCTATTTAGAGTTTGATAAAAAAGAGAACATAACAGAGTTCACCTCAATGATTAAATAGTACAGTGTAATCAGTAAGAACTGAATAATAATCCCACAAGGTTGGCATTAAAACTTTCTTTCTATTCAATTTAGGCTGGTTTTTGTTTCCAAATGTCAGGCAGCAAATATCTAAGTTTGAGCAAAACCAGTTGGGTTGAAAGTGTCTTAAACCAAACAATAATAAAGTGGGGCACAGAACTGCCCCAGCCCAGGCTAGAAATTTGCACATACATTTTGTGAAGAAAATACTATTTGCTTAATGTTGTTACTTAGTGGCAGGATTATCTATGTTCCTGGGGATATTAAAGAGATTTAAGGCATTAACAATTTCATATTCATGATTGATATTGCAAGAGAGAACATGACAATTCAGTAACCATAATGTGTTGGTGGACCCACATATTAAATTGTGCAACACTGCACATGGAATGTGCTATACTGTCTTGCATTTATTTATTACTTAGAATGATAAAACCCTTGCATGCGAGCCAACCTTATTCAGCAGAGGCAATACATTAATCTGATAGATTCTATGTCTGAGCATGGAGCTTACAAGGCATAAATGTACTTACTTTTGGTGTTGGGCAGGATGCAGTGGAGAGACGAGAGGTGGCCTGGGCACGGGGAGATTCTGAAGGAGTAGTACTGAGGGAGGCTGTATCACGTGGGAGCACCTGAACACCACGAGAGATGATGGAATCTGGAATCTTAAAAACAAGAGAGATGGAATTAATAGTAAAAAATATACTGTATTTAAAACTTACTCAAAACCTTACATGAAAAACGTAGGAATACTCCACTCCGTCATTTCCATACCTCCTCATACCCAGTGCTGGTAGAGGTTAATGGCATGTTCTCGTAACTTCAGTAACAAATACCTAGCAAATACATAAGATCGTATTCTAACTGAAGTAGCACAGAACATACTATTTGTCCTGAAAAACCTATGAATCAGACATGTTACAACAGGAAATAATAAGAAAGTAATGTTTTTCCTCTTAAGCCTCTGTTTCCAACCCAACAATGACCAACGGTGATTTCTACTGTGGCATGAAGGGACGCAGACTGCCCATTCCCTAACTAGGGGACAATATTCTGAACAGAAAACTATTTATTAGTAATGTCTGAATCCCTCTGAAGAAATCTCACGCAGTGAGAAAATTTCTCCTAAGAAATGTCATGCAGTGAGCAAATACTCTTCATTCCATGTACTGAAGGTTTTACTTCAGCTACAAAAATTATTGATGTAAGGTTTGTGCTGCAAAAGCTACAGGCCTCTCTGGAGAGAGTACAGGCAAAAGGACTAGAAACCACCATCCAAAGCCAACACTTGGTTTAAAATGCATTCTGAAGGTAAAAAATAAAAATTCAATCTTTTTTTTTTTTCCCCACATAATGTATTCAAAGGTCAGCTAGGAAAGCGTATCCCCCCTGATGAACACAACTGGCAAACCGGTTAACAATGGACAAGGAGAAGGCTGAGGTACTCAACAACTTCTCTGCCTCATCTTCACTGGCAGGCTCTCTTCCCACACCTCTCGAGTGGATGGACTGCAAGATAGTGACTGGAGGAGCAAAGACCCTCACACTGTAAGAGAAGATCAGGTTCATGATCACCTGAGAAACCTGAGCATATGTAAGTCTATGGGACCTGACGAGATACATCCCAGAGCCCTGAGAGAATTTGCTGATGTAGTTGCCAAGCCATTTTCCATGATATTTGAAAAAGTCATGGCAGTCAGGGGAAGTCCCTGGTGACTGGAAAAAGGGAAACATTGCACAATTTTTTCAAAAGGGTAGAAAGGAGGACCCTGGGAACTACCGAACTATCAGCCTCACCCCTGTTCCTGGGAAGATCATGGAACAGATCCTCCTAGAAGCTAAGGCACATGGAGGACAGGGAGGTGATTCGAGACAGCCAGCACGGCTTCACCAAGGGCAAGTCCTGCCTAACTAACCTAGGGGCCTTCTATGATGGAGTGTCTGCATCAGTGGACAAGGGAAGAGCTACGGATGTCATCTACTGGACTTCTGTAAGGCCTTTGACATGGTCGCTCACAACATCTTTCTCTCAAATTGGAGAGATATGGATTTGATGAACAGACTGTTTGGTAGATGAGGAATTGGTTGGATGGTCGCATCCAGACGGTAGTGGTCAACGGCTCAATGTCCAGATGGAGATTAGTGACAGGTGTGTCCCTCAGGGTTCCATATTGGGACAATACTGGGTTCCAAATATGTTTAATGTCTTCATCAATGACACAGTGGGATGGAGTGCACCCTCACCAAATTTGCAGATGATATCAAGCTAAGTGGTAGGGTTGACATGCCCAAGGGATGGGATGCTATCCAGAGGGACCTGGACAAGCTCAAGTGGGCTCATGTGAACATCATGAGGTTCAACAAGGCCAAGTGCAAGGTCTTGCACCTGAGTTGGGGCAACCCCTGGTATCAATACAGGCTGGAGGATAAAGGGATTCAGAGCAGCCCTGTTAAGACGACCTTGGGGATACTGGTGGATAAAAAGCTGGACATGAGCAGGTAATGTGCACTTGCAGCCCAGAAAGGCAACCATATCCTGGTCTGCATCAAAAGAAGTGTGGCTAGCAGGTCGAAGGAGGAGATTCTGCCCCTATACTCTGCTCTGAGACTCCATCCGAAGCACTACGTCCAGCTCTGAAGTCCTCAGCACAGGAGACATGGACCTGTTGGAGTGGGTCCAGAGGAGGGCCACAAAAACAATCAGAAGGCTGGAGCACCTCTCCTACAAGGAAAGGCTGAGAGAGTTGGAGTTGTTCAGCCTGGAGAAGAGAAGGCTCCAGGGAGACCTTATTGTGGCCTTTCAGTACTTAAAGGGGGCTTATAAGAAAGATGGGGACAGATTGTTTAGCAGGGTCTGTTGTGATAGGACAAGGGGTAACGGTTATAAACTAAAAGAGGGTAGATTTAGGCTAGATATAAAGATGAAATTTTTTATGACGAGGGCGGTGAAACACTGGAGCAGGCTGCCCAGAGAAGTGGTGGATTCTCCATCCCTGAAAGCATTCAAGGTCAGGTTGGAGGGGCCCTGAGCAACCTGATCTAGTTGAAGATGTCCCTGTTCATTGCAGGGGGGTTGGACTAGATGACCTTTAACGGTCCCTTTCAACCTAAACCATTCAATGATTATATTCTATGACTCCATTTCTAAGCTGGAATTTTAGGAGAGATCCTTTAGTTGGTATTATTAAGCCACTTAAATAAATGGCATTACACCAACTTACAACAGTGAGAAAGTGGCCTTATTTTCAGTTATAAAAGTGAATCTATCATTATTTTTTATCTTCTGTCTCTTCTGTTCAGTTTTATCACCAGTTCCAAAGAAAAGAGGTAGAAGAATGCGTAAGGATAAAGCTTTTCTTAGCTTTACTATACTGAGTCTTAGAAAAACTGTTGCTGCTTATTACTGCAGTATTTCAGTCCAGTTATGCAGATATCACACCGGCTTTATAATTGACTAGATTGCTAGTTTAACATAATGATTTATTTTTTATTTTTGTGTAAAATGGTAAGACATACAGATGATAAATACCTCAGACAGGAGAAGTGATCTCTAACATTAGCTCTACAACACAAAATGCAGCAGATATTCCTCTATAACACACTCTACAAAGGCTTATTCTGATTCTGTTTTCACGATTTCAACCTCTTCCTTTTCCAAAGGCAGCACTTCTACCACATCAGATTGCTCTTATTTCCTGCAATTTACTTTTCTATTGCATCAGACCAGAAAATGTAGAAACTCAGACCTTTGAAGGAACATATATACATATATTTTAAGATCTTTCTCCTCATTAAGAATTTATTAGCTCAGCTTGATGTTCAAGTTCCAAGAGAACCACAAAAAGAATCCCCATGTTTGGGGGAAATGGCAGTAGCAGATAATAAAAGGAAGCAAGAAATGAAGATCCAGTGACAAGTCAAACCACTAACATTGGACATTTCCAGCCAGGATTTTTTTTTTTTTTAATGGAGATGCTATACCCAGTCTGCATCTCGGTATTTTGAGTATTCTTGCCTAGTAAGGCTTTAGGGCAAATACAAGCCACTGGAAAGCACCTCTTTCAGAAGCAAGCTTGAATCCCAGGTTTTAAAATCTGTTGCATCCTTAGGACCGGTGTTAGGATATTAAGACAGCTTTGTTGCTTGTCTCTGTGCAGTTAAAATGACCAATCTTAAGACTCAGGTCTTTAAATACTGCTTTTTTATGTTATTTTTTCCCCCTCACCTACCTTGGTTCAAATCTATAAATAATGACTATGCCTAACTTAGCAACCTTGACTTAGAGATACTGGGTTATACCTAGGAGATCTTGTTAACATGGTTAGGGGGGTTTATTTCACCATAAACCCTCCTTCACATGTTAAGAGTTTCTCTTACTTATAACCTGTTTGTAAGCTGTGTGGAAGCAGATCTTGTGCCACCAACCACCTGCTTTCTGCTCTACTGCTGTGTTTCTAGACTAACAGTATTGTTTGCCAGTCAATTTCTGTCAGCATTTAAAAACCCCAGCTTTCCTCAGAGGATCTTTCAAGGCTAAGTAACTTGTGCTGCAATTCCTACTATAAATTATGAAGTCAGCAGAGTTTCTCTTCCCCATGGACGATTATGCTGGGGATACCTCCCTTTCCAGAAACAGTACCTCTACTTGGAGTACTCTGCTTTGTAAATGGTGTCTTAGAGATGTAATATAAATAGAGGTAAGCAGGGATAATGATATTCTGATCATGCAAACAGTTTATAGTCAGAAACACCATTTCCCTTTTGTTCTCTTTTTCTCCTGAAATCCCATCTTAAAAATGTTAAACACAAAAAAAGGCTGACATCCCTAAGTTTTACATCATCGTTGCTCCAACACTACCTACAACTTCTAATGCTTCCTTTCAATCTCCATGACTAAGGACAATACAGCAAAAAATTACATTTTGATAAAGGCATAAAATAAAAAAGATACAACAAAAGAAAGAATAGTTTTAATTCTTCAAATAAGACAGCTTTTCGTTATCATCCTCTGATAAAAAGCTACACACATCGTCATATGATTCTGTATGGGTCCACTACCTCTTTTATACACACCAAGATATCATGATACAAATACAATATTGCTTTTGCAAATGATATCATGATCCACTTCTCCCTGGGTTTGCTCTGGTTACTCTAGAGTAACCAGATATTACATACTGTCTCATCCCCTTCAGGCAAGTAACTGTCTTGCTTTGTTTTTGTTTTTTTTTTTTTTTTTTCTATCCACCATATCCATCAATCATTGCTTCTAAAATTTGATCTGATATCACCTTTTTCAGAAAAGTTTCAAAAAAACTCCCTCTGCAACAAAGTGACTAAGACAATTCCAGTCTCCATTGAAGTCCATGTGAAGTACTAATTTTTGCCTGTGAGAACATTAAAATTTAAGTAAAATTTCAGCCACGACATTAATCAGAAGAGGAAGCTGAAGATGAAGGGAAAAGATGACTACAGGCATTACATTTTAATGAGGATTATTCTCTAATCACCACCTTTACAGAAAATACAATTCTCACAGAACAATCCATCTGTAAACCTATCTAGAACTCTAAGTTTCAACTTGCTAGCTTTTGTAGACACAAAATCTCACTGACAGAATTAAGTTAGTTCACAGTTACCAATTTTCTTCTCAAGAGCTTTATTTCTTTAATATGACAGTAGAGTGTATTGTATTGCTAAAATCAGCATTAATATTCTCTTTAAACCACTACAACCTTCTGATTTCAGAGAAGGTAGTAATACGTATACTGCATAAACATTATAAAAAATATAATGGATATATATACTGTTCATTAAGTGAAAGGGACAATAGAATATGATTGGTATTTCTATGCATATATGTCGTGTGATATAGAGAATGTCTCATTTTTCTCACCTACATTTAGTAAGTTTTTTCCCTTTTAAAATTAAATTTAGGCAATCTAAGTCTCTAATCAAGGCAACTTCTTGTTAACTATGTTAAAGAGGTTGATAAACCCGTGAGAAATTTCTGTGTTTCCTGGAGCCTGGAAATCTGCACTAAAGAAGGGCAGGAATATTATTGCATTTGGATAGATTTTTTATTTTAAACTTCCACAAAGTCACACTCTGAGTATTTATGTCTCCCCCTAAAATACTTCAACCGATTTTCCAGTTTCAAACAAATTTAATAGAGGGTAGAGGTATCAAAACTCTATATGGGGTACAATAAAACTCTAAGTTCAGCAAAAATAGTTTCTGTTTGCACTAGCTGGAGTGGAAAACCTATTGTAACACGCTGAGGGAAAAAGAAATTAACGATGTGACAGAGAAAGATATCCACCATATCCAGCAGTCACTGCTTCTACAGTTTTTATCTGATACGACCTTTTCCAGAAGTACTTTTATATCAGTTTAAATGGTTGTTTTCAGATTAGAGAACTAAGTGTTGACAAGAACGGGGAAAAAGGAAAAAGACACGAGCTCTTTATTCTCCTTTGCCCAGGACTGAAACAAAGATTGACAGTGCTGATGAGGTACTAAGAAAACAAGCTGTAGATGGTAATTACTACGATTGTTATAGAAGAGCAAAAATGTCTCAAAAACAGAGAGAAAGAACAGCTTAAAAAAATCCCCAGCCTTCTGAAAAATTAGCCACTTCCTGCTCTGAGTTTGAAGATGTGATTTGGATTATAGAATGGATAAAACAATAGCTCAAGAGTAATTTGCAAAAGGGCACAGAGGCCTGGATGACAGCTTAACAGTGTGCTTCAGAGAGGCTGAATTCACTGTTCTACTGATATTAAAGAATATGGTGCAAATTCTAGTTTAGTAACCTCAATTCAAAAAAATGAAACTATTGGAATAAATGTGTGTGTATGTATGTACACACACATAGCTTTATCATCAGGTGTGTGAACTTTAAAGCCTTCACATTTTCTAAGTGACTTCTCAAGACACATGGCCATCAAGTTTTAAATACAGAGGTGTTACGCTATTTGATCGATGGTTTGAATTACTGTTTTCTTAAGGGAACAAGGAAGCGCAGCCTCTGGTCATCAAATCTAGTGACATATTTTCCCAAGAACTTACACCTCCTTTGCTGGTTGACATGGAATGAACGGCTCAGACAGCACAACTCTCTCTAAGCTAACAGTCTTCCTTAGGTTTCTCTAATTTACAGTTATGAATACAGTAAATTATGTTTCATTCCTGATGATACTGTAGCCATTATTTCATCTTGATTCAAGCCTAGACTCAAGCTTTGGGAAATGGAAAAAAAAGTACAGCATTTTGTTAGAGCCTGAGTTATAACTTCTGGGTTATGATAAACTAAATCCTTTCTACCACTCATTGAAATAGTTGCCTACTATTCACTAAAAATCCAGTAATTTATAAGTTCACTGTATTCTGAATCTTCAAGTCTTTTCTTCTGTTTTTGAGAAACTCTACTTCTAAACAGAATACAAAAATAAGGGAGAAACTGCAAGTGACGAAAGCAAACTATGAACATCCAGTGCAAATGTTGTATTATGTTGACAAACAAAAAATTGAGAGGAAAAAAGCAAAGCAAGGCAAACGAAGGGGAAAATTTACCAAAATTTCATAGCTCTGCAGTAGTAATTTTAGGTTATTAATTAATTATATTCAATTATCGAGTATATAAGATGATAAAGCCAATGACTAATCAGAAACATAGGCTTTATAGCAATGATTATCTCAGCAGCCAAATGATTCAAAGTGACAATGCACACAAACTTTACCTTGTTTAGTCCTGTATCTTAAACAGAATATTTTCTGTAACATGTTCTCTAAAAGATAGTACTGGTGTGTCTTTGTTAAAGAAAGTAAATAACACTGTCTGTTCACACATTAGACTAGGAGGCAGGCAGTATATTTTTAGCTACTGTTAGTGCAAAAGCCTCTTGGAAGCATCTCTTACCGGTTCTCCCGCACTGCCTGCTGCGTGATGGTAATAACTGATGAGACCAGGGATGGGATGTTCACCTTTTGCCATGATAACAGCTGAACTGGTGTAGGATGGATGTTTCTAATGCACAACACATAACAGCTATGAATACAGTGACAGGAAAACATGAAACTATACAAGCAAATGACTGAAAGGGAATGAGGTGAAAACAAGCACGATACTGAAATGCCAAGCTCATATGAACACAGCCAGTTTAGATCTCAGGTATTTTCTGTCTTTAAAAATTGCACATATTATTTACCTTTGCCTATATCAAAATAAATTGATAAATTTAAAATTTGCATTAAAAAAACCTGAAACTTGCAAGTGATAATTACCTTAATTCATCCCTGTAAAGATACATGTAATCAGGATTTTCTGTACATGAGGAGACGATCTCCAGCTGCAGCTGTCTTAGAAATGTCAAGATGTCTCAGACCTGAATTCACATTTCTTGAGTTAGAATGATGCCATTTTGGTTTAGAAATTGTTTAATATAATTTTGAGTTACTTGGACTTTCACTTCTCATAATAGAAACTAAAAACACAATTTGTGGAGTAAATTTAGAACAAAGGGGTTTGAAAAAAAACCTTTCCAAACACATAGGGATACATTGTCTTTCCATTTGAAAACTGAAGACAAAACTGAGGTAAATATTTATATATTGCTTCAAATAATACGGTATTTCTTTGGAAAACATTTAAAATTTGAACTGAAATAATTTGCAAGTGTTATCTAATTTTTTCCTTTTGTAGTCTCAAATTTATTATTTTGGTTTGAGTAATGTTGATCTCTGATTATTGGTTAAAGCAATGCTATAAAGACAATGTGATGATATTTAGTTTTGTGGCAGAATTTCACATCTCTTATGCAGACATGCATGCTGGAATACAGTAGTCTGGATAGCTTATTACTTAACCTGCTACCTATCTGTCATACTTTTTATCAATGTTTTTAGAAATCAACATTTTATTTTCAAAATAGATACTATGGCTTAGAAAATTTTGCTGCAATTCCTTAATATGCCACCTACTGAACTTTACATGTTCAGGTGTGTGAGTACTTTGAATAAAAAAAAAAAAAACACTAAAAATAGTCTGTCACATCAGAATGGTATCGTAAAAATGCATGTTATCATCAAGATAATAAACAACGTATCTCCCACTGAAATTTGAAATCACCTACCGAAACAGGACTCCTATCTTTTTATGAAGCTGTATTTCTACAAAACATATCTAAAATACATCTGTTTGACCACACAGACATCAATGTGTAGTCTTAACATGCAAATGAATATTGGTGGAAAGTACCTGAGATAGAAACTAAAGGGTCTCTTAGGGAAACAAGCCAGACTCACCTTAGCTGCAATGGCTGCTGCTGTTATATGTGAAGAAGAACTGTCCTCTGTTGAGGCAACTCCACTATCCTTCTTCTCTTCCTCCTCTTCCTCACACTGTACTCCTTTGTCTTCTGTCTGCTTGTGAGGGCTGGTGGTTGGAGGAGGAGAAAGAGGAGGTGGTGGTGAAGGTAGATCTTCAAGCTCATCGTGTACCTCCTTTACTTTTACAATGGCATCCCGCAAAAGATCAATGGCATGAGGTAGGGCTGGCAGTATAAACTGAAAGCATTCCTATGCACAACAAGAAGAGAAATGACGATGAAAAGTTACCTGCAGAAGTAAATAGGGGTTTTTCAGATTTACTCTTAAACTATATTCAGTATTTACATGTATCTTTTCACCCGATCATAAAAAAAACCTTAAATGCCCTATACAATTGCTCATAGAGGGTAAAAAAACAAACTCAGAACCAGAACTGGGGACTATACTACATATTTTTGCCTTTTTTCATGCAAATACATTAAGTTGTACAACAGAGCTACGTAATTAAGCTAATATTGGATTAAAATATCAGAAAACAAGAGTTAAATTTTCATGAATACATAATACAGAAAACAGGTCATAGCAGTTGGCAGAATGCTACAAAAATGCAGAATAAAACCATTAACTCTATCCCTGCAGGGATATTAGCTTAAAATCATTCCTATTATGGTCCTTCACAATTAGAGAACAATTCGTAAGGGTTTCCATAATTATACTTTTACATAATTATACTCTTTTTTATTCATGGACTTATCCTATATACTGGAAGAATGACAAACTACACTGATGTAATTATAATTTTATGTAACTCAGAAAAAATTGTTCATAAATAACCTATTTTTCAAATCTCTCCTTGCTCTATGATCTTAAAAACAATTACAAAGTTTATTTTATATGGTTGGAGAAAGCAAAAATTCAGACACTGTGTAGCTGTTTTTGTTCCATAATGGGTATACATATATATAGCTACCTCTGCTGCTAAAATGTGCCAGTGTCTCACCAAATCAAAGAGGAACCTCAGGAGGTTACTCACTGCAGCCTCCTGCTCGTATCAGGGTCAATATGAAATTCAGACAGGTTGTTTAGGGCTTTGTTCAGTAAAGTCTTGAAAAAATCCAACAACAGAGACTCCATAACCCCTTTTGACAATCTGTTCTAATGCTTAATTACCCTCAAAGTGATCCTCCCCCCCGCCTTGTCTGGAAACTACCTTCTTCAATTTAGACTATTGTCTCTCAACCTCCTCCCAGGCACCTCAGTAAAGAGTTTTCTTCACGTCATTTGAGAAGACTGCATATAACCATCAAATTATTGGAAAGTGATGGAATGATGGCAGGGTCACAAGAATGAATTGCCATGGCAGCGCAGTTAGGGAACATATAAGCTGACAGAGAAAGCTGACATTATTCCTTGTGTTACACTTCATTTTTGGTTTTGTTTCAAGAATAAGAAAGGTTTCTAAAAATGTATTTCAACATTCTAGAGTACCCAGAAAATAAATAATGATAAACATTTTGTAAATAGATACTGCAATAAATACTTTCAATAAATAAACATCACTGTGTAAAACAAAACAAAGAGCAAACCATCCATCAGAAACTACTGGAGTTTATATAAGCCACTCTGTAAGTCAAAAACATGACTCACAAACACTGTGTTTCCTCAAAGCTTCTAAATAAGAATCCACCTTTTAGTCACTCCTTTAAGAGTAATTAAAAGTCAGACTACTTCATAGATATATAAATTCTTTAAACATTCAATTTGGCACTCTGAAAAACTGGAGTAAACTGGATGAGCGTAAGATGCTGTATATACTGAAAATATATTAAAATATTTGTAAACACAATAAAGAATTATAACTTCTAATGTAACTGCAAACCTCAGAGTTATCATGCCTCCACAGTATTATTTTTAAAATGGTTTAAAATACTGAAGCATACAACCATCACTACTTCAGTAAACAAGCAGACCTCAAGTAAGTGGTAAACAAGGGTAACAATCTGGGAACTGACCAATAATCATGAAAAAGTACATTAATAATTAACTCATTAGAGAAGCATGTTCCTCACTCCTACCACAGAAATAAAGCCTTGTTGGCTTGACTGTTGATGAATAGGTTCCCAATGAGTACTCTAAAAGCTCATGTTATTTGTAAAACTCAAAATAAATTGTAAAATTTGTTTCAGGCAATTGTTAGTACAATTATGAAAATTGCCATAGACCCAATGATTTCAAAGAGCATCTGGTAGTTTCACACTTTGCCCTCTTTCATAACATTAAATACCTTTTGCAAGCCTAAAGGAAAGAAAACAGACTAGAACAACACAAAAACGGAGGTATTCTACAGGTCTTGAGTCAGTGGTACATGTCACACCAACATTCTCTGCAGAAAACATGTTTGGTATGCATTGTGTCCCTTTTTGAGATGAAGCACTTACACTGCTGTCATTTTCTATTAATATTTTATTAACGAAATATGCATACTGCTGCAATTTCATAGCTTTATATAAGCTTCTTATATGATTGTATTAATATAACGGGAAGGAAATTAGCAAGCCATAAAAGAGAGAAATGAGAGCAATTCCTGGTAACAATCTGTCCTATTTGGTTCTTGGGATCCAGCCTGTTATGGAACAATTTTCTCTGCTATCCATCTTAAAAATCTTTGCTGAAATCTGATACTTTAAAGATGTTTCATATTAAACTAAATTGTGACAGAAAAGAGTATCATCATGACAGGAACAAATAAATCATCAGTTTATAAAAAGCCTGCTTGTATAATGAAATTTTATTACATATTTTTCTTTTCCAGCAGAATTACCTTTTTTATTACTTACTTTATATCAAACTATTGTTAAAATACTTATTAACATTTTTTCATTTCTTTTCCTCATCTTCTTTCTACAATTCACCTATCTTCACAGTCTCAGTGCCTCAGGGCAGAAAATGACAATTCTTTCTATACCTATCATGTTAGGAGTGCTACTGAACACAACAAAACCCATTAGAGATTGTCAGCTATTTCATCTCTTTCACAATTCAACAAAGGAAGTAGAGACTTCTGAAAAAAATCTTACTGGTGCAGCAGTTCTCTAAGATGTGGGGCCCATTGCTATATTAAATACATGTACATACATATGACTTCCCACTCATAACTGGAAGACTTTCAAGTAGGTATACTCCTGTGCCACCATCCTCCAATGATTGTTGCATGTTTTGAAGGCTTTTAAATTAGTTTTCAGTTACAGAGTCTCATTAGATTTCCTAAAAGGCTCTAAGGAATGATAGAATCATAGCAGGGCTTACTGAGTCCTTGAACTGAAACATGTAGACAATGTATCTGAAAACCTGTAGTGGCTGCTTAAGATAAGAGTATTCAAAACATTTCCTCTTCAACTTCCAGGTGACAGCCCACATAAACATTCTTTATTTATCTCCAGACATAAGTCTTTCAAGCAACAGTGACTTCAGGGCTGTGCTGCCAAACACATTAGTACTGTCTCCTCTGTGACTGGATACCACTGGTTCAGAAGACGTCGATAAACTACCAGGTACACATTTGTTAGAGGCCAGAGGTAAAGACATTTTTTAACAAGGCCACTGACATAGTCTGAGCCCTGGAGAAATACATTCTCATGACTGATGGGAGATCTACCTTAGCAGTTTTGTATCAGGTTGTACAGCCCACTATTCAGCTTAGCGGTATTTGTGTGGAGAAGCTTGTTTTTCTGGATCTATCAGCCAACTACACAGAAAGAGCGAGCACTGGAAAGATCTAGCCTTACTAACACACAGACACGAATTCCTCCTGATGTTTAATTGTGTTTCTCTCAGCTCTACAGTCAGAAAGTAAGTATGAATAAAAACATAAAGCCCTACTCCTCTGTCCAAACTGAGCAAACTGCAGGAAGAAAACAAACTGCACAAAGGGTCTAAAGTCTCATACCCATATCCAAAAGATTTTAAAAAATCCTCAAACTCTTAAAAATGATGTTCCTTTTTTTCCCCTCTTGCTGACCAAAATTGGGAATATTCTTCAGACTCCAGTAAGTTCTACCATACACTAGGCCTTCCTCTTACTTCTGTGCGAAAGAGAACGCTTTCTTGGAAGCTGTAGACAACACAGGAATCAGTTACAGGCTGACTAGAGAAGGAGGAGAAAGTGTAAGAGACCATTAGACTCTCCATTAGCACTGCCTGCTACAGTGAGCGCTCTCTTGCACTACATGTAATGCTGTCCTGGTCACACAGTACCTTCAATCGGGTCAGAATTGTATTGTCCCTGACTGAGGGTGATGGTGTGTTCAGTTATATGAACAAGCATTTCAATTCACTTTTGTAAAATTTGTCATAGTGGGTACTTTCTACCATTCGGAACAACGGGAGGTACTCATCATTGGTCCTTGGTAGCAGGTCAGTAGTAACACTTCTTACCTGTGACCCTTTCTTGCTACCTGGCAAATTAATTATGAGAGTCTTCCCTCTGATTCCACACACAGGTCTGAAAAGAAAGAAACCCAGAGTGAAATTCTTGCATGCAACTTTCTCCACTGTAGAAACAAGAACAGAGCATTTAAGATAAATTCTATTATTTATCAGAATTTGTAAACTCAATTTCCAACATGTAAAAACATTTGCTGATCATGTTCTCATAAAACAGCTCAGGAGAAGCTCAGCTGAAAAAGCATCAAACAAGGCTGACAGAGTCTAAATTTAATTAATAGAATAAACACTGCCCAGATTTCCATCTTTTTTAGATCTGTATAGCTCCCTTAATTCTATTGTTTACTTGCATCCAATACATTCTTTGATATAATCCCTATTTGCTCATACACATGGTTCCTTTGTAATGTAATTGACGGTGTCAAACACTATTTCCCTTGCCAGGTAAAAATACTAAGTCATGCTGGTTCCATTAATTCAAATATGTCTTTTCTTTTTAGAGATGCAATGTAAGAAAAGCACAGAGGGAAGGCATTCACAAGTGAAAATTGCACTTATACAATTCATATTTAATTCTTCCTAAGAGTCTTTCCTTCCCCCTCAAAAAAAGACAAACCAACTATCAAAGACAGAAGACTTTTTTTTTTTTTTTTTTTTGGTCTTTAGGGAATTCTTTTGGTGTTGATGAGGGCTGAACTTAAAACACTCAAGTGCTGAATGCTTTCTGTTGTTTAGTTTGCCTCTTCCTCCTTTTAGCTAAATATTTTTCAAGAAAAAAAACCCAACAATTCGATTTTGTCTTGAGGTTGTAAAGAGTGCCTCCCGCTTTTTTCCATTGCTTATGAAAACAGTGGGGAAAAACCCAGGGCTGGGATATAAGGATTAGAAAAAAGTAAAAGGGTGAGATGAAACCAAAAAGATACAGAGGCTACAGTTGAGAGAAATTGTGTAACAATCTCTTTATCAAACAAAAACATGAGCCATAAACGAAGACAGAATAGAAAAGAAAATAATTTCTGGATAGGGCATTACCAAAAATTTTGAGCCAAAGGACATAGTTCGTGGGGTAGCCAACTTCCCTGGATTTCTTCTTATACAAATAATTCCCAGTGATTAATGTCATTTATTGGTATCATGGCATTTTCTAGCAGGGTAGCAAGTATTCTAGTGACAGCTGTCATAATGCTCACAATTAAATAGCACAGAGACCGTTTTTGTGCCACAAAACAAACTTTTGATACCACAGTCAAGCCAGCCTGAAGAAAAGTCTTATTTTCAACTGGCAGTTTGAATATTGCCAGTCTCCTAACCTCTGTTTTCCAATATTTGCTTCTTGCACACTACATACTGGCAGTTACGAAAGAATTCCAGCTAGCTGAGGAATGCTCTACTGCAATAGAAAGATGAAGAGCCCGAGTTAAAGAAATGTGACTCTTGTTGCAGTAGTCAAACTTACAGACTACAAACTCAATCCAGCAAATCCCATATCTGGGATAGAGTTTATGACAGATTTGAAATAAAGGAAATAGGAATTATCCACAGAGGAATTAAAATTAGGTAGAATTGTGTTTGGCAGATAGCTCCTTTAATAATCTTCTCAGCTCTTTTACTCTGCTTTAAATAGTTTTGAACATTATAAGCTAAATGACCAGTACAACCAACCAATAATAAAAAAGGATTAGACCAGCAGCCATTCTCCCGAAAGCTACAAGTTTCGGCTGCCAATAATCACATCTAGTGGCTCAAGAGAGAAATGGAGCTGCCAGAAAATTCTCAAGAGAGCATGCAAAACTAAGTAGAAGTACCCAAGAACTGCATGGCTTGCAAAAAATATTGTGTGTGCATTCTGGGTAATTTCAGAGATAAATTAATTACATTCCTCCAAATGTGAAACAGCTGAGGGAGATGCTGTGGATCTGATGTTATCCTCAACCTCGTGATGCAGTGGACAGAAATTTTAAGAAAAAACAAAGAAGTCTGAGAAAGAAGAATACAAATAGAAACAAGGGAATGGAAGAAAAAGCAGGACATGGGAGAAAACAAAAAATTACATGTGAGGAAAGAAACACAGGTCCACTGCTCCTCATTTGCTATAAGCATCTGTGAATCCAGTCTACAAAATAACTCACCACTTCCTAATGCTGGCCCATAGTCAGGAAGACAGCCTATAAAGTTCATGTGATAAATACAACACGATTGACCTAACATTTCCAAACCTGCAGGTGATTTATAGAAGTGTCAGCTTAATGTTGCATAAGAGAACTTCTGCTTTTCTTTTTTTTTTTAAAAAAAGTCAAAGAAATTACATGCAAAATTATCCATCAGAACTTCATTTCAAAATGAAGTCAATGAGAGGTAAGCTTAGGACAAGTGACATTTAATGTTAAATACTTTGAAAAGTTAGGATCTACATCGCTCAAACTGTTTACCCAAAATTAGTGTATGTTTATGACCTCTCTTAATGTGTGTCTTAGTTCTCATTGTAAGGGGGGATTACAACACTCCCTCAATTTGCAGAATTTTTAATGAAAATACAGTAACAATTTGTGCCTTAGAATAACAAGTAATGTAAGAAAAATCCCAGAGGAAGTCAGTCTGCATTCAGAGAAGATTTTGAATAAAGAGCACTAAAACCAATTCAGGATTACACAGAGGACAACCAAAAGAAGGAAAAGTAAATTTGCTTCCTCCATCTTAAGTATTTGCAGAGGAACTCTACAAAGAAATGTAATCATTAACACACACTGGCATTCAGGCAGAACCGAGATTGCACAAGAAATCACAATGCTGTAATTTTTGTGTACTTAACTTTATAATCTGAACAGTTATAAAAATAATGGCCTTTTGCATGCGGATTGCTTTTAGGCCTGAAGTAAAGGTTTTCACGGGGAATTTTTTAAGGCCTAATATGACTTCATGCAGTATCTTTGTAATGTTATTTCTCATCATTGCCATCAATTATTACTGAAATTGGCTATAGTTTAAGGGACATTTTGTTACTATATGTACTGAAGAGTCAGGTGGCAATCCAGCATTTTGGTTCCACTACCATTACAACATCCTTTCAGCCATCCTGATCCCACCACATCCTAAATCAAACTTGGTAGTGTCATCTAAATGGCTACCCTTTTCTTGATCAGAAACAGAACAGCTAAATTAACCTTTCCTGTCCTTGTGGTAGCATTCTGCTATCCTTTCCCTTCAGATAAACACAAACTAGGATATAAAAAATTGTATCAGATAAAAAAAAAGAAAATATTTGCTAATCTGGACAGAATCTGAAGGTTTTAACTTGGTAATGTTGCTCTTTCAGATATGCGATACATGATACAAAAAGTTTTAAAACACCTTGTTGTATCACTAAACCTCTCATCTAAATGTCCTTAAAAAATGTAAGTATCTGAATACAAATCCGCAGATTTGAAAGTTCCTTCTTTATTTCTTACATAATTATTTTCTTGTTACACTCTCACTATACAACAAGAAATCAAAAACCTGTTACAGCCATTGTTTCTTAGTTACCTTGAAATAAAGTGCAAGCACAGACTAACTTCTTGATATTACTAAGTTTATCATAGGCAAAATGAGGTAAATTGAAGGAATAAAATAAACATCAACCCCAGAAAGAAATACAGGTTAACAAGAGATGTCACTGATAAAAAAGAAATAACAACAGGCAGAGAAATAGTTACTAATTATGTAGCAGGAAACACCAAACTCTAGGAGTTAAAGTACTATATCTGAAAGCACGGGATAAAATACTATTTAACTTATTCAGAGAGCTGTCACTGACACTGGACTGAAAGCAATATCAAAACAATACATTTGTATTTACAAAAAGTGTTTTTGCTAAACAAAGCATTTTAGTACTTGATGAACAACATATAGAAGAATTCTTCACTCACTACCGAAATGACACAGCTCTAGGATGAAAAGACAGCTGTTTAACAGCATGCATCAATATTACAAACAACCTGGCACAGAAAAATACAGGAGGATACAGTGTCTAATGGAGACAACAAAGGGAATTAAATGAGAGAATGCAATTACCATTCTTGGAATTTGGCCACTTCTCTGAAGTTAAGACTTCTAGTCTTGGTAACAATGGCAATCTTCAGTTATTTGTGTACAGTCATTTCATGACAATGTGCGTTTCTAAGGAAATAGTTCACCTCATTTTGAAAGAAATAGTCTTACCTAGAGAGCATGCCCAGAGGAGTAACATTAAGTGATCCCATCAGCATTGCCAGGGCCATCCCTGGGGCTTCTCGTTCTATTACTTCTTTAGTGGCCTGCAATCAAAGATTAAATAGCAAAGTGAGTGAAGAAGTACAAGGATAAGAAAAATATGAAGCCAGCTAAAATTTGGGTAGGAATACCTCCTTTTTTTGTTTCTGCCACAAGACATACTTGGTAAATTCTCAATGTTGAAATATGCTAAAGAATTTTCTCTCGGTTGTACAAAACAGGGAAAGACAAGGGGTTGGGAAGAAGCACTATTAGCTGTACTGTAAAGACTCCTATAGAAAATGTTAAAAATCAGCACCCTATATATAGCCAATGTCAACCAACACCACATAAATAACAACTCCCTCTAACAGAAAGGAAAGAATGTTTGCGAATAAGCAAAGCAAAGACCAAATGTAACTGCCTTCTCTTCCTCATCAATCTCATGTGCATTTTCCCGTTCAGATTTTCCCAGGCATGAGAAGGGTGAATCGGTCTGCGCAGAAGACAAAAAAAAATTTGCAAAGGGAAGCCCATGTAGCAGGCAGGCAGGAAAATAGTAAAATGGTAATGATAATGGCCAGAGGCTGATGCCTTCCTTTTTGATCAGGCCAGTAAAACAGCAGTCCCAAACAAGCTGGTGGATTTTATTCACAAGCTGTCCTTATGCAGTGGGCATCGAGAAGCCTGGAAGCAGAGTCTGAAAATTCTTGTCTTTTTAGTACTTTTTCCACACAGGGAATCAGATGGAAAATTATTTTTCTGGGACATGTACAATGTTCTGTCCTTACTTCCTAAGACGAATTTTCTCAAGTGCACAATCCATGCAGTTTCCCAACATCTAACTTTATTTAGCACATAATACCTCAAAGGCAGGTTACAGTCCTACCCTCTCTTCATTTCCCTCACAGTAGTTGCTGTTCAGTGGATCATCTTGTTTCATGTTCTGAAACAAGGTTCTAAGTTATTTGGCACAACTAAAATGTTAGCAATGCTCATAAAACTGTGAAATCCATTGTAAAACATCCAGCCAAACTACAACACTTTGATGGTACAGCTATCAAAACAGAAATATAAAAGCATATCTTAAATATAAGGACACTCTGAATAAGCTAAATTTTCTTGGCAGTTTGATATAGCAAAAGAATAAAATGGAAGAAAATCACACAAATTATTTTGTGGGAAAGATGAAATTATAAATCACATCCTTGTACTTTTGTAAGCTCCTACTTTACAAATAGAAGATCAAAGTCATAGAGAAGGAAAACAACAGAATTAACCCAATGGCATCCCTATGAGAAGGATCCAGGAGTCCTATACTAGCTATACAGCTAAAACACTTACAGGAAGCAATCAATAAAACAGAAAAAAAATATCCCTGAATGGTACAGATATTTAAGTGGCCATATTCTCAAACATTGCCACTAACATTTAACATGTTTTAAAGGAATATGTCTGTATCAGAAGACATCAGACACAGCAACAAAGTAAACCTTCAGATCTTTTATTAATAAGCAAACTTGGTATGTGCTCAGTTGTGGGAAGTAGGAATTTTGGTTTAACAAAACCAAGCAATTTTAATTCAGTAGCTGACACCACAGTCTCTTTTATTTCAAGTATAGACGTTGGTTTTAGTACCTGACAGAAACAGAAAAGGCACATAAATACAACCCAGTGTCTGTATTTTTACATATGGGAAATGAGAAGCAGGAGGCTAGGAATGATGTAGACAAAACTAAAACCTCTCCACTGAGGGAGATGGCCTAAAGATACCTGCTGAGGTATTCAAGTATAAACCACATAAAATTCTTAAGACTATTGATAGACCTGATGATTTTTCTAGTATAGAAGAAAAAGGCATTGCAATGGTGAAGGGACACTTTGCTGACAATGAAGAAGCTGGTGAAACATGCTCTATGTGGGCACACATTGTATAGAAGAAAAAGGCATTGCAATGGTGAAGGGACACTTTGCTGACAATGAAGAAGCTGGTGAAACATGCTCTATGTGGGCACACATTGTATAGAAGAAAAAGGCATTGCAATGGTGAAGGGATACTTTGCTGGCAATGAAGAAGCTGATGAAACATGGATCCCTCTGTGTGTGCATACATAGTAAGTCTACATCTATGCCTTTTATTTTCAGCTAATACCATGCTTCAAAGCTATTCAAAACTGGTTTTAAATAGAAAGTGCATTTCGAGATTTCTTTTTTGCCCTTGAGCACAGTGACACTTTGAAGATACCATTAGTTAAAATTCAAAACAGGCTTCAAAGGTAGTACAAAATGCAAGAGAGTTCCATAAACAACAGTCCTGCAGCTTGGGGAGTCCTTCAATGAAATTCAAGTCCATTCTCCAACTTCACAAGAAAAATGACCTTCACAAAATGTCACTGCTAGCAGGCAATGTGATTATTAAAAATGTATAGACTAAGCAACAAAAACTGAAAGGGCACAAAGTCCAAACAGCAGTACAGCTCTCAACTGAAGTTTCTAAAAATACTTGTTTCAAAACATACATGTTTATATTTATTACTGCAGACAGACTTCTACAAACAGGGGAATGCTTCCTGTTTTCCTATTTGCAGCCTGACTGGATGGATGTAATCAAAAAAGGCTGCTTCTAAGTAAACAACTTTTACAGTGACATCTGCTCTTGAAATCAGCCACTGGAAAGTCCACTCTTGAGATGTCCTCAAATAACATGACTTAAAATGTGCAGTGTACGGGAACTGAAATCACCATCACACTGGGAAGCCCATTCTTAATTAACTACACATATATGAATGAAATTAGCAGTGCTGCAGTGATTTACAGATACTTTGTGTCTATCTGTAAGAACTCTTTTGTTTCACCTAACAATGTACTGAAGTGCTGTTGGTGAGGTTTTCTAATACTTCTTCAGGTTTGAAGGAAGGGTGGAAGAGAGATGTCAAAACTAGACTTTCATCTGTGTCCAGCTCAGGAGATAACTGTCTGGTACCAACATCTACCTGCATGCAAACTATTAAAGAATTAGTGACTCAGCACCTTCACACACAGTACTCTAGCAAGGCTGAATTAAGATTGTTAAACTGTTTCACGGGCAATTTTTTCTTGATAGTCTCACAATCAGCCAGCTTTTGCCTGCTGCAGGGGGCCATAGTGTTGGCACAAAATGAATCACAGATCAAGGCTGTTGTCCTGGGCCCTCTTACAACAGCAAGGATGACACTACTATGCGAGTAGAAGCAAGAAAAAATGATGAGATTTTATTCAGAGCTGTCACACTGATGCCTTCATCAGGACTGAAGCTATAAACTGATTTCTCAAACCTGAGGCTGATGATTATATAAAAAGTAGGTGGAAAATACTGAAGTAAATTTGCATAAAATACTAAAATGACAGTAAAGAAGTGTCCCTAGTTTCTCCTGCATAAGGTGGTAGTGCAAAGACAACAGATGCACGCAAGACGGAGGTGGAAAACAGGGGTTCCACAGAAGTGGAAGCATTTGAAGGTAAAAGCAAGAGTTCAGGAGAGAGACAGAAATGCAAAAATGTCTGTTTGGAGGTTGCAAAGAAAGGCGAGGTTTGTAGTTTAGGTGAGAAAAGGGAATGTGGGAAGAAGGAAAGGAAGAATTGCAGACAGGAGGTCCAAGCAGCATGATTGTCAGAAGGGCAGGAACGAGAGTAGAGTGAGGTGGAGGGAATGAAGTGAGTGGGCTGGAAATAAGACAGCACAAGGTGGCTTGGACAGACAATACATGAGGGAAAAACTCAGGAGAAGCAAAAAGACAGACAGGACATGATGTAAGTGTCAGGCTGTGGGGAAACCAGAGAGAGAGATAATGGGACTGAAATAAAATGGTAGTTTCTACTCCAGAGAAGAGAAGCAAAGACTAACAATTAAATAATTATTTCGCTGAACTATTCAGGACTTATTAACAATGCCTATGAGAGCAGTTGTTCTTATATTTCATTGCTATACGAATAAACACAATATTTTAAAACACATTTTTGACTGTTTTCAAAGTGCCTTTTTATTGCAGTTAGGGCACTATGTTCCCAAACCAACGGATATATTTTTAGGTATCTTTGACGTAGTTGTGGTTGCTTAACAGATGGCTTGCTGCCAATTGGTTTCACAGAGTTCTCTGCTGCTTCACTGACTTTCTTTGCCTTCATACAAATTAGGTTAGTTCAGTTTCTAACCTGTGGAAGCCCTTCCAGGCAGCTTCTGGAGGATATACCCGCTACAGACTGATTTAAGTAAAAGACTTAGGACTACTCTTCTTGAAATATTCATAAACTCCTTATCTTTGTCTTTCAGGTATTAAGCATAGGAAAGTTTGACCTTAATAAAAAGTAATGATCTGAGAAATTTCACATACTCTTCAGTAGTTTTGGGATGGTAAAATAGTTTTCTCTCTTCAACTAAAATGCTAATATGAGACTAAGAAGTCATAATATATTTGATTAAATTAAGATGACTGAGACTGCCTCAGTTGAAAATATTATTTCTGTTGAAAAAGATAAAATCTATGACTCTGCATAGCATATCATAAAGCTATTTATGCAAATTAATGGACAAATTTGAAGATTATTTATATTTAACAGACTACAGAAATAGCATAGATAACATTTTATTACCTATTCGAGTTTTTCATTGAAAGCAGAAGTCTTGGAAGGGCCTAACCAAAGAAATATCTATACACCCTCTGCAACAGAGCTCACAGACCATAGTCAAACCTCAGAAGACTGGACAAAAAACTACGGAGACAGATCGGTCAAATATGCAAGAAAAACATCAGTCATGTCTGTCAACCAGTTGTGTAAGAAGTGTGTATTTTAGGAACAAAAACTGCATCTCTCAGCTTGGAGATGAGATACCTTCTTCAAGGTTATTCAGTATACCTCTGCTGGAGATAACACATGTGCCTGTAATTTCTATTCACTAGTCAGCTATTTCAGCTTATTGTCTACTTCCCTATTCTTATTTTGAAGGGGAGAAAATAGAGCTTACATGGAGCCAGTCTGAATAGAACTTCTCGCCTAAAATTCACATATCTGTTTCTTCTCTTAGTAC